GGGAACCCTGATTGCTCTTTGGGCTGACGAGGGAGGGGGACTTGATTGGGGGAGGGGGAGGGAAAGGGGAGGCAGCGGTGGGGAAGAGACAGAAATCTTTAATAAATAAATAAATAAAAGAAAGAAAAAAGAAAGTAAATGGTTTCTGTCAGAAAAATTCTTGAGGAACCTATTTCAGGCCCTCTATTAAATCTGGATCAATTGTTTCCTGTAATAATCATGGAGGAATCTCCTACCCAGAGCAACTACAACCTAATGCCTATTGTAATGACCCATAATGCTTTAGATAACAGAATAACTATACAAGAGATAATGTTGTGGGAAGTCCTTCCACTCCTCCAGCCAATAGTCGCTGAGATACCAGCCCATTGGGGCATGGTCTCCCTCCCTTTAAAAAAGCAGCCACTTCCCTTCTTGCTCTCTTACTTCCTGCTCTGCTTCCAGCGACTAGACTCCCTTCCTGATTGTGCAGAGAGCTGTTGTCTGGGACGATGATCTGTAAGTTTTTTCCCCTTTAAATAAATAACCATTCTATTAATCATAATTCTAAACTGGTGTGGGATTGTTTTTAACTTACACCTTTGCCTTCATCTAGGGCCCAACATTTGGTTTTAGGACCCCTCCTTCCCACTTTTGGCTGCCTGCCTCCAGTTCAGCTTGGCGTGGGCCCTCCCTCTTTCAGCCATGGCCTGTGCCTTGCGGCCTGTGCCTTGTGCGTGGAGCCAGCAGTTTAATATAAATTATCATGCCGTGGCTCTTCTTGCTGCATTTCTTTATATTTTCCCTTTAGACACCTCAGATTGACTTCAAGTCCTCATGTACACTATGGTTTGCATCCCCATGTGGATTTAAAACCAGAGGCCCACGTAGTCTCTGCCCACATGGTTTGCTCTTTTCTGATTCGTTTTCAAATCTCCCTTGCAAGCACAGCTCTTAAGCAGCACGAAACAGAGCACCCAGTTGTCGGGTACCGAAAGCTGCATCCCCTTGGGGTGACTCTGGCACATGGAGGCATACATGGCTTCCAGGTTACTCTTCTCTGCTCCTGGATTCTGGGTTTATGTTTCCATGTATGGAATTGATTTAATTACATTTACTTTGTTGAGCAACTTGCATTTCCCAGTTTTTAAGAAATACTAGGCAGACCCTAAAACAGGACCCCGTTTTCGTCGTGACTTGGCAACAGCGCCATCTGCTGGATAATAGGTAATATGGCAGTTTTCGTTTCCAACACAAATTTTACTCTTTTGTTTACTAATACAATGGGTTATATCATGCAAAGTTTATATGACTATGAGGATAACATAATTTACTGGTAACTAGGTTTCAGTATTCTTTTGAATATTCTATCATTTAGGAAGAATACGGCACTCCTAAGAACCATACAATCTTTACTAGAAACTCATGCAGGTCAGGAGATTCAGGATTCAAGAGACAATAATAAAGACTTGAAATGGTTGAAGAAATTATTGGAGCTGGTGAACAGAGTAAGAAGGCACAAGGGCAGGATACAATGCCACCACCAGCTATTAGAACTGACTTACCCAGGGTTTTAGTGCCATACCCTGTAATTTATTCTGACAAAGCGTCAACTTCTAAATACTCCAAGGGAGTCAGAGAAGCTAGATGGACACCAATAGCAATGAATGATCTAAAAGAAATTAAGCAAGATATTGTTAATATTGGCTTGCACTCTGCATATGTTAAGAAAATGATAAGGACTTGGGCTTCTAATGCTAGAGCTACCCACCATGATTTCCATCAGTTAGTGTCTGCAGTTTTAGATAAGGGACCTTCCTTGATATTTGGAATCGATTTCAGAGAAGAATCCAAGCATATGGAACAGGAAGGAAGAGCAAAAGTTGTGGAGGTGTCCCAAGATCAAATTCTTAGTGCAGGAGAATATGCTGATCCACAGGTCCAAGCTCTTTATGATGATGAAGTACTGTGTCTATGTCACCAAGCAGCTTTAAATGCTTGGAATAGGATACAAGATCCAGCAAAAAGGGTTGAATCATATACCAGAATTAGGCAGGGACAGAGAGAACCCTTTATTGACTTTTTGCAAAGATTAATTAAGGCTCTGGACATAGGGGTAACAGAACCAGAAGCTAGACGAATACTTCTTGAATCTCTAGCTTTTGAGAATACAAACGTGGAATGCAAAAAGATAATTGGGCCTTTAAAGTCTAGATCAGCACCTATGGATGAATGGATTCAGCATATGATGAATGTTGAGATGTTTAGCTATAATGATGAATCTTGGGTAGGAGAAGCGATTTCCAAAGTAATGAGGAGACATCAAATTGCCAGGTGTTTTCATTGTGGTAAATTAGTATATCTGAAACGGAATTTCAGGCAAAGAATTTCTAGGAATAATATCTCCTCTGGGAATGACAAAAATAGGAGACCTCAGCCTTCAGGTATATGTAGGAGATGCGGTAAAGGTTGACATTGGTCCAATAAATGCAGGTCAACAACAGACAGAAAAGGCAACCCAATACCGTGGGGAAACTCCTTGAGGGGCCTCTCGCAGGCCCCTAAGCCAACAGTGGCCCAGTCATTCCCAGTCACAGTGGAGAACGTGCCTCACCAAGAAAATTACAAGCTCCAATTTCTGCTGTAAAAAGTAATGCTGGTCTAAATGATGAATTATGCATGGAGGATGAGTCAAAAAACAAAAATCAATAGGACAGAGTAAACGTATATTTTGGCAACTTCTATTAACGATCAAAGACCAAAGCTAAGAGTCTGTATAAATGGCACTTTTATTGAAGGCTTATTAGACACAGGTGCGGATGTAAGTATCATTACTCCAGAATCTCGGCATCTGATTTGGCCTCTTCAAGAGGTAGATGTTCAGTTCCTGGGAATTGGAACCCTATCTCGTATAAAACAAAGCACAAAATGGGTTGAATGCATAGGGCCTGAAAGGCAGGTAGGAAGACTAAGGCTATATATAGAAAATATTGCAATAAATTTATGGGGCCATGACCTGCTACAGCAATGGAATACCCAGATTAACATTCCGGTAGTTCCAGGAACTCATAATTCTGGGAAGAATATGATGAGGTATTATGGGAAAAATTCACCAGCCATTCAAGTTGTACAAGAACATACAGAAAATACCAAACCTTAGAGGTACCAACAGCCCTATCTTTATAATGGCTAACTGAGAAGCCAATCTGGATTAAACAGTAGCCTTTAGCTGAAGATAAATTACAGGCATTGGAACAGCTGGTGCAAGAGCAACTAGATGCTCATCATATTGAAGAATCAACCAGCCCTTGGAATTCTGTGATTGTTATAAAAAAGAAATCTGGCAAATGGAGAATGGTGACAGATTAAGAGCTGTCAACAAGGTAATTCAACCTATGGGCCCACTAAAATCTGGAATTCCTTTGCTTTCTCTATTACCAAAAACAATGACTTCTTATAGTTCTTGATTTGAAAGATTGTTTTTTCACTACACCATTATGAGAAAAGGAAGAAGAAAATTTTTCCTTCATAGTGCCTACTTATAATAATTCTCAGCCTAATAGGAGATATCAATGGATTGTCCTCCCACAGGGTATGCTCAATAGTCCTACATTGTGCAAATATTTTGTAAGTGAACAATTGGAAATAATTTGTAAACAATTCCCCAAGTCCATAATTTATCATTACATGGATGACATCTTGTTATCTGATTCAAATAAAGATATTTTAGAAAGGATGTTTGAAGAAGTAAAGAAAGTCTTGCCTAGGAGAGGATTACAAATTGCCTCTGAAAAGATTCAAAGAGGAAATTCTATTAATTACCTAGGTTACAGAATAGGGTTAGAGAAAATTAAAACACAAAAGGCACAAATTAGGAGAGACTGGTTAAAGACTATTAATGACTTCCAAAAATTGTTAGGAGACATTTCCAGTCTACAACCAGCTGTTGGGATAACACCTGATCTAGTAGTTCATTGAAACAAAACCTTAGATGGTGATAGAGATTTGAATAGTCCAAGAAAACTGACAGCTGAAGCAGAAAAGGAACTGACAATGATTGAGGAAAAATTACAGGAGGCACATGTGGATAGGGTGAACCCAAATCTTAGCTGAATCCCAGTCATATTGCCTAACAAAATTTCTCCTACAGGGATTCTAATGCAGATGGGAAGATATTATTTTAGAGTGGATATTTATACGTAATACACCAAGTAAAAAAGTTTAAAACTCATGTGAAAAATGTCTCTGAATTAATTATAAAAGTTAAGCTGAGAAGTAGTTCTAGAGGATGACTTCCCCTCTCCCAGTAATGTTTGCCCTTGGGTTTAGGGACATCACTTAGGGGTTTATTATAATTAGTATACGGTTGAGGGTTGGGGGAGGAATTTTAATTAACTCAGGGATCATTTTGGAAAAAAAAAAAGATGGGATAATAGATTTAAAATTGTGAGTTACTGTTTTTAGACAAATATATTGGTATTGATTCTTGTATATTGATACAAAGTTAAATTATATTGACTATTNACATATATTGTATTGATATATATATTGTATATATTTACCATATTGCAGTGTACATTTCTACCTCTGATTAAGATACTTATATATTGTTTGTGTATTGATATATATTTACCATACTGCAATGTATATTTGTACATTGTTTATATTTGGAGGTCACTGTCCTTATTTGTTTCACAGTCGTTTATTGTCTTAGTCCTTAAGTTAGATAGGTATTGAGAATTATATAGATCAATAGTATTCTAAGTTTGTCATTTATAATTAGACTAATCAAGTTCTTTAGATTCATAGAGATTATATTCAGTATAGATAGAAAATCTTCAACCTTTTCAAAGAGCTGTAGAAAATGGCCTTTAATCTAACTCAGAGTTTTGTGGTAGTGAGACACAATTGCTCCTGGCAAACACTGCTCTATTCCAGAGAGAATGTTGAGCACCAAAGACACTCCACCTGGAGGGTTTCTTTTTGGCAGAACTGGCCTTTGGGCAAAGAAATGCCCATACCTCAACCACTGACAGAGATACAGAGCATGCATCAATGGATAAAGCAGGACTGTCATATCCTGCCAAGACAGGGTAAGATAGTTTTGAAAAGTTGCTTGCCTTTGAAAATGGTATGTCAGTTATGTTACGCCTTAGCCAAAGTTGGTTGCTTCAATGCTGCAAACGTGACTTTGGGTTATTGTCCAGGTAGCTAGTTGTCTCTGTGATTTGTTGCATGTTTTGGAAGTTCTTTGATTACACTTCCTTATTACTCAGGTAACATCATTTCCCTTCTCAGATCTTCTATGGGGTTGAAGACTATATCAATGTAGTTACTTTCTACTCATGACTTGGCCCAGCTATTTATTATATAATACCTAAGCTAGTTAGAATAGGATATTTGTACTTATTTTATATAATTTCGTAGTAGGTTTAGAACTCTCCTACTTAAACAAAAGGGGGAGGTGTTGCAGGAGGTCCTTCTGCTCCTCCACGCAATAACCACTGAGATACCAGCACATTGGGGCGTGGTCTCTCTCCCTTTAAAAATGCAGCCACTTCCCTTCTTGCTCTCTCTTACTTCCTGCTCCGCTTCTGGCGACTAGACTCCCTTCCTGATTGTGCAGAGGGCTGTTGTCTGGGAGGGAGATCTGTAAGTTTTTTCCTCTTTAAATAAATAACCATTCTATTAATCATAATTCTAAACTGGTGTGGGATTGTTTTTGACTTACACTTTCGCTTTCAAGATAACAAAAGATTCAGGAAAATATTATTGCAAAATTCTTTAAATGAGCAAAGACCAAAAATTAGAAATACAAATAAATGACACTGTCGCAGAAGGTTTGGTAGACATAAGTGCAAATTGGCTTTTTTAATATATAAATGTTTATCTTTTAGGACTTGAAATTCTATCTCAGGTTAAAAAAAAAGTTTGAGATGGGTTGAATACACAGGGTCAGAACTACAGAAAAAAAAATAATCCACATGTGGCTACAATAGCAACAAATATGTAGGGACATGATTTGTTACAGCAATGGAATACTCATATTAAAGTTTCTCTAATCATGGGAAAAACATACATCAACATATATTTTGGGAAAAATATTACAAGGTATAATAAAGAATAGTCACTGAATATTCAGGCTGTAAAAGAATAGAGCCTAATAGTTGCTGATCTTGCAAAGGCAGCAGCAACTTTACCTTTAAAATTGTTGAGAAACACACTTGCATTTGGCTACACAAGGACTTTTGACAATAGAGAAACTGCAAGTCTTAGAGCAGCTGGCACAGGAGCAGTTAAATGCTCAGCATATTAAAGAATCAAGCAGACTTAGGAATTCTCCTCTATTTGTTGATAAAATAGAAATTTGGAAAATAAATAATGGTAACAAATCCAAGAGCTGTTATAAAGATGATTCAGCCATTGGACTCTGTACAATCTGAAATTCCCTTGCCTTTTTATTGCCGAAATAATGGGCTATTAAAATTATTAATTGCAAGGATTGTTTCTTGACTATACCTTTAAAAGAAAATGATAGAGAAAATTTAGTCTTCATCGTGCCTGCTTTTAATAATTCTCAGTCTGCTGGGATATTTTTCCATAGGAAATGATAACTTAGCCCCACTGTTGAAAATGATATGTAAACAATTTATTCAATCTACGTTTCATCAATTCACAGATGATATTTTACTATTTCATTCAAATGTGTATATTTTAGAAGAATGTTTGAAGAAGTAAAGAAAAGTATTCCTTTTGGGGGATTACAAATTGATCCTGAAAAAATACAAAAAGTGGAATCTCTTAATTGTTTAGGCTGTAAAATACATATACAAAATATGTAGATCACAAAAGTTACAAATTAGGAGAGATTGGTTAGAAAATCATTCTAAATGATTTTCAAAGATTGCTAGAAGTATTTCCTATCTATGGCCCAATATTGGGATAATTCCTGATGAACTGATTACTTTGTTCAAACCTTAGAGGGTGACAAGGACTGGAAGAATAACACGAAATTATCAGCTGAATCTGAGAGAGAAATGGGTTTGATAGAAGAGAAATTACAGAATATATATATATGCAGATCTTGTGGATCTGAATCTCAACTTCAGTCTGGGTATATCACCCTCTAAGCATTTTCCTACAGAAAATGTAATACAGGGGGAAGATTTGAGCTTAGAATGGAGATTTTACCACATAATCTGAGTAAAAAATTAAAAATATATTTGCAAAAGACTTCTGAGTTGATTTTAAAAGGAAAATTGATACTTAGTAAATTAGCAGGAATACACCAAGCAGTGATTGTAGTACATATTAATAATGATGAAATTTACAAATTGTGGGAAGAAAGTGAACCCTGGAAATGAGTTTGCTGTAAATTGTTGGGAGATATTAGCAAAATGTGTCAAAAAAGCAAGAGAATACAACTTAAAAAGAGACCTAACTGAATCATTTCTTGCATAGTACTGGAAAACCCAATATCTGGAGCCACTACATTCTATACTGATTAAATCAGAGAAGGCAGGATAAAAATCAGAAAATCTAAGTAAAGTGAATTTAAGTCTTATGATTCTGTCAAAAAGTCAAAATGATATGCTATTTTCATGACACTAATGGATTTTAAGGAACCTATCAACATAGTTATTGATTCACAATATGCAGAAAGAGTTGTTTTGCATATTGATATCGCTGAATGTATACAAGATGATACATTCTGTAATTTAGAAAAAAGTGATGTGAGAGGGAAAGTTGTCATGTTACAGAACTCTAGTGGAGGAGTTTTATATGGGGGAAGTAAATGGGAAAAGGTGGAGGAGAGAAGGAAGACTGGCCTCTGGGGACAGGAGTTGCAGAGTACAAAACAGAAGAGACATACAGACAGACTGAAACATAAGAATGATAGATCGGAGGTAAGCAAGTCCCTTTTAACAGGTAATGTAATGAATGTGCACAGGAGGTGTGCTTAGTGCCTACGGCTGAGGATATACAAGGTCATGTAAGTACAGATGCCTAATTACTAACCATACAGAACTGACTTTACTATTTATTCAGTTACAAGAAATAATCAGGAATAAGAGTCATCCCATATACATAACACACATCAGACCCAAAACAAGTCTGTCAGATTTTCTAGCACAAGGCAATGGAGAAATTTATAAACTCAACTGAAAATGTGGTAGAGGCCTCAAAATTTATACAAAACATCATTTTAATAGCAATTGTAAAAGAAAACTTTTCCTACACAAAACAACAAGAGAGGGAAATTTTAAGGAAATGTCCTACTTATTCTTTATACAACCAAATACAACTACCTGCAGGAAGTAACCCACAACGAGATAGCATTTCTTTTGTATTTTAATAAATAATCCTTACCTGAGGATCAGAAAAGTAAACAGCCACACTAGGCAGTCTTACAGACCAGAGAGCAATGATACACACTTTAATCCCAGTAGCCACAATGACACATACATTTAATCCCAGTAGCCATGCTAGCTTGCCATAGAAACCTGGCAGTAGTGGTGCATGTTCTTAATCCCCGAACTAGAGAGGACTATAAAATTGGAGGAGAAAAGTCTTAGTCTCAGTCTCATTCTGAGGTTTCCTGGAGGCAGGATCACCATTTTCAAAGTGACTTTGATGTAAGAGCCAGTGGCTGGCTGCTTTGCTATTCTAGTCTTCAGTTTTTAATCCAAAATCTGTCTCTGAGGTTAAATCATGATTTAACAACATGTAATATAAGTAATGCAATCTGACAGATGGACATAGTTTATTTTGTAGACTTTGGAAAATTAAAATATATACACAAAAACATTGATAACTTTTCAGGTTTTCAATGAACAACTCTTTTGAGTTTGGAAAAAGCTTATCCATTAATCACACAATTGCTAGAAGGTAAGCCATCATGGGTATAGTATACCTGTACAAACTAAGATGGACAATGCCACAGTATATTTCTTTAAGAAAAATAAAACAATTCTTTGCTTATTACAATATAAAAAGCAAATTACAGTTAAACTACATAATACTTCAGGGCAAGTAGTTATAGAAAGATCAAATTGAACTCTAAAGAATATGCTAAATAAATGAAAATGAGGAATAAAAACCACCAAAATAAACTGTATAATGATTTAATAACTTTTAATTTTTATAAATGCTAATGAGAACTGAATAACACCTGTGGAGAGACACTGGAATTTAGAAAAAAAAAAAAACACTGAATAAATCAGATGGTATACTTTAAAGATGCATTGACCTCAGAATGGAAACAAGGACATGTGTTACATTGAGAAAGGGGTTTTGTTTTTGTTTCCAAAGGAGGAGAAAAATCTATGCATGTCCTCAAAATTGAAAAAGATCTGATTTGAACAAGAGACAACTCTTAATTAGAAGAGATGATAGTTCATCAAGCAGCATGGTCATATAATCCAAAAAAACCTATAAAACTAACAAATGATTTACTTTATTTGTAGCAAAAGTAAGTCACTTGGGAAAATTATGCTCCTGCTTCAATTCCGGATGGATTCTGTCCAAGTTGGACAAGAAGGACATAAAAGAGAGTGTCTACAAATAATTGACAAAATAAATAAGGACAGTTCTTCAAAAATTCTGCTTTATATAAATGTCTTTAGAATATTCTAGACCCGTAAGCCAAAGATGCATGCCCCAATGTTGCAGAAGAACCATGGGTGACTGTGTAGGTTGCCAACAGTTTTTGTCATTTAACATATATTTTGGAAGGTATATGCTTGCACTTCCTGCTTACACAGTTAATATTATTTTCTTCTTGAGTCTCTGAAGGAATAGAAGACTAGATAGTTACAGTGAAAGTATTTCTTATTTACTAGACTCAGAAAAGAAATTCAATAAAGAAATGTAAACTATAGGAGGTTGAGAGATATAAAAAGCTAATTTTGAATTAGTAATGCAAGTTAGAATAGAAAGTAAATTAGGTACAGCATTTTGAACATACCAAGATAAGATAGATAATGGGGTATTTTTCTTTGAATTTGTCAACTAGACATTTTTTATGTATTTAAAGTCTGTATTCTTGTAGATAATTATCAT